GCAACATCTTGAAGTTGTTAAACCCATACAAACTAGGTGTGAACACACCCACACAATCCAGGAGTGAGCACACCCCACACAATCCAGGAGTGAGCACACCCACACAATCCAGGAGTGAGCACACCCCACACAATCCAGGAGTGAGCACACCCACACAATCCAGGAGTGAGCACACCCCACACAATCCAGGAGTGAGCACACCCACACAATCCAGGAGTGAGCACACCCCACACAAACCAGAGTGAGCTCACACACAAACTAGAGTGAGCCTCCCACACAATCCAGGAGTGAGCACACACACACAATCCAGAGTGAGCTCACACACAAACCAGAGTGAGCACACCCACACAATCCAGGAGTGAGCACACCCACACAACACAGTAGTAAGACCCACACCCACACAATCCAGAGTGAGCACCATGATCCAGTCACAAAAGACTCAAACTTCCACTTCTTTGTGGGGAGATAGAGTTGAGGAGGCTTACTGAGGAGCTGTCTCCATTTCCAACCACCGTCTTGAGGCATATTTATTCCAGTTATTATTGTACTCCATTTTCTTCTGTAATTAGAAATTGAAAAAAATCCGTTCTGATATTTGCTATGAGTCAGAAACAAATCATAGACTATGAATGCATTTTGCCAACTTTAAGTCACACATGGACCAATTTCTACAGGGAATCCTGTAGTCAGGGTGAGGCTTGGCTTCTGTTCCTGGGCCAAGGGTAGTCGTCAGAGGTTTCACAGGTCTGAAACATGTTGTCAGTGATCATGATAGTTGATCATGGTTGCCAACATGATTAGATATGGAATCAACTAAGAGATATGGTGCCGGTCTGGTCTGTGAGGGTATTCCCCAGAGGGGGAAATTTCCTATTACATGAAAGGGAAAGGAACTTCCTCAAAGTGAGCAGCACCTTCCAGTGGTGCCCCGCAAATAACGAAGTTCAAAGGAAAAGCTATTGCTTTGTGTTTGCACACCTTATTCCCTTGCTGGTGAGTGTACTTTCTGTTGCTGCCTCTCCCACTGTCCTCTTCTGACATTAGCACTCAGCCACCTCAGCCTTCCAATATGAACCAAAGACCAGAGGCTTGCAGGGATCCTCCAGGCCTTCTGCTGAGGGGTCCAGCCTCATAGACTGAACAGTGACCAGGCTCTTAGCCTCTCCAGCATGCAGCCAGCCATTGTAGAACTACCCAGAGTGCATCATGCCAGACTATCTAACAAATTTCCTCTTAGTTTATTTCATCTTGTATACTCTCTTTTCTAAGATGGTGACTTTTAAGCTGCTTCCAAATCTGGACTTTTCTCTAACAGGCTCCTCCAGTCTTGTCTCTTGGATTCATAAGATCACCATAATGGACTCCATTTTAGGTCTTTTGTTTGTTTTACTAATATAAAAATAACTTCCGATGGCAAGAAAAGCAATTCAGGAGCAGTCATCTCTGATGTTTCCAAGGCTGACTTTCCTTTTTTTTTCTTTGCCTTATGATGTTCATTTTTTTTAAAAGGAAGTATATTTTTCTCACTTATACATTCCACTTAAGACTTTGCCTTATGATGTTCATTTTTTTTTTAAAAAGGAAGTATATTTTTCTCACTTATACATTCCACTTAAGAAAAACATGTAACATTTGAAGTAATAAAACACTAGAAATTTGTATCTACCTAAAAATAGTTTAATTTCATCATGTAAATGCAAGCCTCAAGGGTGAACACCCTCTTCAAAGAAAACTTCTTTCAGATTTAATACCATTTAGAGAGGGACAGTGAATGTGCGTGCAAAACTATATGGAGTTGCAAGTAGCTATCAACAGGTTTGTCTTAAACTCTATGGTTATTTTGAGTCCAGCTGCATTGAACAATGTATACATTTGGACTCAAAGCTCCACTGGAGTTCAGCATTGAAAGGAAGAAAATAAAGACATTTTTGTATCTACAACAGTAGGTGTTTCCAAACTTATTTTATTTAATAGCTTCCAATGGCTGAAGATTTCCATATCAAATAATATTTTTATCAGAAAATGTACCTAAAATAGTTTAGGGAACTTAATACTCTTTATGGGACCAGATGTTTTGGATGTTTTGTTTTTTGGGAACTTAGTGGTGACTGGTTAAATCATTTATGTAGAAGTAAATCATGTTTTGAAGAAATGTTAGCAAAATGAAACATTGTCTTCATTTCCTATAAGGACAAATGGAAGCTATGGTTCATGTTTGAAGTGCTGGATAATACAAATTATCACTTATATTTTTATATATTTGGTTTGGGGATATAAGGCAATATTCAAAATGTATATGAAAGTGCAAACACACACATACACAGAAAGAGACACACACACACACACACACACAGACAGAGAGAGAGAGGAGGAGGACTTCAAGTACTCTGCTAGATCAGCTAGAAGTTTCAATAATCCCTTGCGAAAAAGATTTTTTCTTTTTCAAAAGCTACTAGGGAAAACATATCTAAATAGATGTTCCTAATGAAATATTCCTGTAAATGGTTAAATGTCCTCTGGCCTAGGGATGATAGCATAATGAAAGGCGATGCTTTGGGGAGGAAAATGTCTACTCAAAATAGAAAATGTACCAGTTAGAAATCACAATAATTCAAAAAATATTTTCGGTGTTTTTTGGTGTTTTTCCCATAAAAATTATAAATTGCTTTAAAAGCGAACATAGACTAATCATTTTGTTTTAGCTTCTTCAGTTTTCTAATCAAGGAGTTGGACTAAATGCTAATCTTTTAGCTCTAATAGTCTATGATTCAAGCTAATAGAAGGTATTAAAATGGTCCCATTGATTTATTCAAATGATAATAGAAAAAGGCAGCTTAAACTTACGAAGCCTGGCAATGTAATTCTTTTGTTTGTTGATAACAAAGGAAAGTACTAAGTGATGAAAGATACTATCCAAAGTTCAAACCCACTCAGGTTCTAGTCAGTTACTCCTGTTTCTAAATCAGCCTGGCCATCAAATAAATTACATTGTTTTGTTTTATTAAAGAATCCAAGAATCCCAGGACCCTACCACTGGAAGTCTTTATTATTTTTGAGATGAGATCAGGACTTGCCATTTTTAAAGATCTCAACATTCTAGTTTGAACATAAAGATGGGGTCTACAGATCACTTCTAGACTGCCTGGGACCCAGGGGAGCAGAGGAACAGACCTGAGCCTGGGGGGCTATGGATCACTCCCAGACTGCCTGGGATCCAGGGGCTGAGAGGAACAGAAATGACCACAGCAATTTTTATAGTTTATCATTTCCTGCCCCAAGGAACAACTTTTCCAGTGTTTTCTCTCTAGGGGAAAAGTATAGAGCAATTAACACCTGGAATCTTGGCTACTCTCCTGTGGTAGGGAAAGTCCCCAAAGGGAGCAAGAATGAGAGAGTGGATTTGCAACCTTCACTATTTGAGCCTAACTCACATTCTAGACACTTAATTCCACTTAAGCCCTGGAAGTCGTCTTACTGTAAACCACGAATCTAGCCATCACTATGGTACAGTCTCAAGCCTTTTAAGGCAATCTGTGATTTACAAATTATTTACTTTACTTCAGGGAATGGTATCATAAAGTGGGTTCCTCTTAGTCGCTAGAGTATCATAAGGAGAACAGCCACTGAATTTGTGTCTTTTTATGGGTGAAGAAGAATTAATATTTAACTAACCATATAACATAATTGCTTATAAACGGGAACAATGGATAGCAAAGTGACTTTTAAGATTTTCCATGTAGGATTCTAAGGATTTCAACTTTCCTGCTTCCTCCATGACACTTATCAGTAAAGATTCCATGCATCTGGTGTGAGCAAATTGTAGCTGAGACACAGATCACAGTTTTTTGTGTGACTATCAATGCCCAAATGTAGTTTAAGGCCTTTTTACACAGTATAAGAAATACAGCATAATTTAGCTGTCAATAAAATATTGTTCCTGATCATCCTCTTTATATAAAAAAGTGAATTAATCTCTTATCTACTAATTTTGGGGGAACAATTAGAAAAAAGGAAAAATCAAAACAAGTGACTTACCTCTACAGAGGCATAACTCCAGATAAAGCAGCTAAACTAAAAACTTACCACAATTATAACAGAAAGTAAAATTCAGCACAATTTAATTCCTTTTTGTATCTCATTTAAGGAATGTTTGCTACTGAGATTGACAAAATAAATCCATTACTTTGTCCTGTCATTATTAAGGCAGTCTTATGATACTGGCTCTGAGAATCAAGTATATAGTTAAGCCATGTGAGACTACCAGATGATATATAAAAGCACAGATGAGCGTCTTATGCCTGCTTTAGAAGACTGATCTGTTAAACCTGTGATATTTTTATTTAACCAAGAAATAAACAATACAAGTTATCTTCATATGGGTTAAAATGCTATTTAAGATAAGACTTCTGGAAAACTGCTAATGTTTGGTTTGTGTATAATTCTTATTTTTCAATGTAGTTGGTGGCCAAGGAAGTGGTTAATAATATATAAATGTCAAATGCCTTAGGTGGATACCTATTAAAAGGTATGCAAAATATAAATAGGATTGTATATTTTCAAAACTTTAAAATAAACACAAAGAATATATAGGTCTACATGTTATAATTTAAAGTCCATACTAGCACATAATTTTTTTTTACCTAAATACATTCCTATAACAACACATGCACCTACAAACACATGGCCATGCACATAACCTCGTTTTCTGCATTTGCAAGAAAGTTAGAATATACAATATTGTACATTGTGTCAACTTAAATCATTTTGAAAAGTCAATGAAGATGGCAATAAAAAAATCTAATCTAAGAAATTAAAGTACAAGGAGAAAATTATCCCATAGATTAAAAACACTGAAGACTGATGGAAAGTTAGGGTTAGATCTCTTGTCCCAGTCATCTTGAAAGATGCAGAAGAGAACAGGACAGTTTGTAAACACGCTGAATATTCAGTTTGGCAAAAGGGATGAGAACTTTTGTAATCCAGCAATCCAGGCTAGGGATCTAGACCATCTGGGCTGCGGTTTGCAGAGAGACTTTATAGCTGTGGGCAGTCCTCCGTAATGCTGGGGGTGCGGATGGCGATCTGGATGCCCATCTGGATGGGAGCCGGCGATTGGCTGGTCTAGCAGGTCGGGAAAATCCTTTTCCATTCGAGGCTTTCACTGCTATGGATTCCTACAACACAAATAAAGGCCACAATCTCCTTACACACACCACCTTTATTCAAGGGATACATCAAAAGGGTCACCACCACCACCACTGCCATCATAACAACTACAAAAGTGTTCATGAGATTTTTTAACTCATGGTTCCAACTGTCCTTCTTCCAATGATTTTTTAGATTTATTTTTATTACATATAGACCAAGGGATACATCAAAAGGGTCACCACCACCACCACTGACATCATAACAACTACAAAAGTGTTCATGAGATTTTTTAACTCATGGTTCTAACTGTCCTTCTTCCAATGATTTTTTAGATTTATTTTTATTACATATAGATGTTTTGCCTGTATTCATGTATGTGCACTATGTGTGTCCTGGTGCCCACAGAGGTCAGAAGAAGTCATCAGATTCCCTGAAACTGGAGTTAACAGAAGGTTACAAGATGCCATGTGGGGACTGGGAAGGGAACTCAGACCCTCTGGAAGAGCAACAAGTGCTCCTAACTGCTCATGCATCTCTCCACCTCTTGCAAGCCTGCAACTGGCCTTCCTAATAAAGCTGATGCTCTTGCATCTGAGACAGGCAGTGAGGACAGACTCAGGTGCTACTATTTCCCTCAGACCCAAGCAATAGCCTCATATTTTATTGTCTCTTTGGATACTTAAATTTAATTCACAGGGGTTTTAAAATACCTCCCAAATCGCTAAACAATGAAAAAGAGGAAACATTCAGCATCTATTCTTAGTTCATGAGAAATTTGTTGGTTATATTTGTGTTTGTGTGTCTCTGGTCATAGGACCTACAGATTTATGGTTTCAACTAAAATGCAGAGAAGTATAAAAGCCAGGGAATTATTTGAAATGCTGGCTAATATAATGTCACATTATTTAAATTACATATAAAAAAGGGCATTTTGTATAAGTCTTCATAGTAAATACCAATTTGCTTGACCTCTCCCTTTATAGTTAATGAAGATGTGCTCTTTTAAGTGGACAAAAAAGAGCAAATGATTATTTAAATACCCATTTTTGTTAATTTCTATGTAAAAATATATATGGCTAGCTGTATTTTGTAGACTTTTAGTGGCACAAACAAAAGAGTTTGTTTTTGTTTGTTTTAAATGTTTGAACACTTGAACATTTAAAACAAGAAATTGTTTTGCTTTCATACACATTTGTGTGACTAACCCTATGAGACACAAGTCATACAATGGGAAAGTCTGAATCAATCATAATTGAGAAAGTGGGAGTTATTAAAAAATGTTGTATGTACTGAAATAATAAAGCTTTAGAGTAAAACTCTGTAAGTCAACAGATATGTATTCTGATTTATTTTAAAGGAAGGAAACAAATAACTTTCCCCAGGTTCTTGAAAGCATATTATATCAATATTACTTATTTATTTATTATTTACTTATTTTTGAGGCAGGGTCTCACAATACAGTCCCAGATGACCTGGAGCTCAACTTTGAAAACCATTCCGGTCTCAAACTCACAGAGCTCCACCTGCTTCTGCCTCCTGAGTGTTGCAATTAAAGGCACGAGTGACCACATGCGTCCTTGATATGACTTATTTTTAAATAATGCACTAGTTGAAGTATTTAAAACTGTACCCTCAATTCATATTAAGTTATGCCTCACAGAGGGCCAAGAAGGTAAGAAGATACCAAAATATGTCTACACCCTAATTATATGATCTAGCAACTGAACTGATTTCAGAGCTATTGCTAAAGATGGAAGTAGTCCCTGATGTCCCAGCTGTGTTATCCCCGCACTAAGTAAATGTTCCATTTGATACATTTCTAAACATCGGCCCCACATGGTACCACCACTTACATCAGAACCGCATTTGGTCCAGTTATCCCTGAAGCATTTTGAGTTTTGCTGGACAGACCCTGTCTCTGTCTCATAGGTTTTCAGCAGCTTTTCCACCACACGATAATTTGATCTGGGATCAGCTGACTTTGGCCGGCTAGAAAAATTGCTTGGTCTCCAATCATGCTCATGGAACATGAGCTGATAGGTGCTGGGACTCACGAATGCCTGCATTTGTTTGACCAGGCCAGTTGCAGATACTTGTGTGGAATTACTGAACACTTTTTCCATGGGCACAGGTATGTGGTCACTAGCTTTCAAGCCATTAGTCCCATCGTCACTTTCTGATACGTCGTCTTTATCAGCAGGAGAGCTGTCACAGAGATTGAGATTATCAGGTGGTTTTGAATAGCTTTGACTTTGCTGTACTGCTTGACAACTTCTGTCTGTCCTAAATACAGTCCTGTTAAATTCATCAATCTTTGCTGCCAGCTTTTCATTCCTTGGAGTCCTTTCTAAATTGCAGTTGTAACTTCTACGTGGGTCTGTCTGTGTCACTGAGTGAAGAAAGTCACTTTTCACATGAAGATCAAGATGAGATTTAGTAGGGTTTTCTGGAATCACCTTTTCAACTTTTGCTTTATTGGGGGTGAAACCAATTTTTTGAGACAGTGTAGAAGGGCTCTCCTTTGTGCCTATAAAAGTGTCACATGACCACATATTAAGTCCAGTGTCTTCGTTACCTGGAGGCTTGCTATCTATTCTGACTTCTGGTATCAAAGAGGAAGCCATGGTACTATCTTTCAATCTTCTGTCTTCTTGTGGAAACAATGGAGACTGCCTCAAAAGAAAATGAGGACTGCAGTTCCTTTTGTCTTGACTCTCATTGGCCACCCACCTGTGGTATAAACTTTCCTTCAGTCTTTCTTGGGCTTGTTCAGAGTATGAGCTGGGGAAATTTCGAGAGGTACTTCTTGGAGGAGGAATTGGTGGAATTTCACTTCTTTGTAAGTCAATTACACCAGTTCCACAGTTTTTCATTGAATTGTTTTGGAATCTGTTGGCCCAGCTCTGATTCTTTTTCTGTTTTTCTTTCTCCAAATTGGTTGGAAGAATGCCCTGGCTATTACTGATAAAGTGGTCCCCATGAGGTGCACTGATTGCATTTGGCATTTCCCGGAGAACAGAATCTGACTTCATCCTAAATAATTATAAAACAAGGTATGTCAATGACAATTTTTTTCAAAATGAGCTTTTAAGGGAAGCCATAGTTTAAAAAATACATTTCAGCTATAAGTCACAATTTGCTGAAACATTGTGTGTGTATACTTTTATATGTGTGTGTACATATATATATATATATATATATATAAATAATGTGATACATAAGTATGTGTATATATGTGTGTATATGTTCATATTCTAAATCCACTTATTACAAATCCTCTTTATTGCTTTATTGTAGGATGAAGTCTTCAGGGTTACATTCATGGATTTAACCCAAATTTTAGTCAGAGTCATTCGCTAACATGAAAGCTCATGCTAGATTCTAACTAGACAATGTAGTCTCTTGAGTTTCTGCTCTTGCCCCTCCCATTTCTACAGATTTTCTCCTGCCATATCCTTTTCCTCTCTTTCCTATGCAATTCCTATTCACTATTCATAATTCCTATTCGGTCTTCCTTTTTCTCCTTGCATTGTAAATAACCCTGGGAATAGTGTTAGTCTGAATGAAGTGTCATGAGCACTAGGAAACCCCAAGTGGAAAGTCTCATTTGAATTGGAAAGGAAACTAAGATTATATTTCATGAATCAAAGAAAGGGAATACAAACAAACAGGCTCTAACAAGGTGTGCCCATTGAGGGAATGAAGAGTGCCCTGGATGGATTTAAAGCAGAGTGAGGGACACAGAAATACTAAGGCATGCCAAATCTTAGATCAATGTTAAACCATATATTGAGGCTCTGAAGCGCTTTCTAGAGGGCATTGGGATGACGACAAAATCTTCACTTTTTAATGGTTTACGGGTTATTTTTTTGAGAATTTCATAAAATAAATTTTGTTATATTCTTTGATCTTCCCTTAACAGATACATTTATTACAGAGTCCACCTTAATTAAACACGCAAAGAATATAATAGTCCTAATATTTAAATTGTGAAACATATTAGAAGATTGCTTTTAAGAATCCATGAAATAAGATATACATGATGAGGCAGTTTAGATTCACTGACTGTGAAAAGAATTCTTTTGAATTTTCTGGTTTACAATGGTCACACGTGTGCCAGCCTACCTTCTGTGGTTAGGGCGCTTTCGGATTTCCTCTTGAAAGGTGCATAATTCTTCACTCACTTTTGCAAGTTCTTCAAGAGCCTTCACACCCATAACACATAAAAAGAGAGGCGTTGTTAGCACTCGGAAGTGCAAGCACTTCTTTAGAAACACTTCCTGGCTGATCTGGTCTTACTTACTGTGTTAAGGGCGACAGAACAATCTTTACTCTCCTCCTTAGAAGTCCTCATGCCAGCCTCCTCATGTGCCTCCTCTTCTGTGGCCAAAGGATTCAGAAACCCGACTTTGTTTCCTGTGGGCGTGTTTTGGTTTTTATAAGCTTGGTTTCCTTCTCTGAGGAAGTCCCTTTCTAGCTTGTTGTCCTTGTCCAGATCATCTCGGTGATTCATCACTCTAAATTCACATTGTCCTGAATTGGGGTGATTTGGAGGAAATTCCATTTTATCTTGATCACGATCAAGAGCAATGACCTTAGAATGTTCATTCATGTTCATTTTCCTCCTCAGCTTTACTTCCTGGCAAAGCTGTAGGAAATAAAAATTAAAAATTTACTTTTCCTAATTTTCTTGATCAATATATTTTCTCTTTCTCTTTTATGATCAATAAATTTTCATAAGCAGAGTTTTATTACATAGTCCTGATATGGAACCCATTTTGAAGACCGGAATGGCCTCATGCTCCCCAGTATCTACTTGCCTCTGACTTTGAATACTAGTAATAAAGGCATGTGCTACTATGCCTAACTTTGTTCAATATTCTTGGATACTAAGCAAATCATTTCAAGTCCTTTTTGCAATATTACTACATACTACCATGGGTATTAATGCTTGTGCATATAGATAGTGCCTCTAAAACAGGAATGAGATAGGACAGTTTTGGTGAACCGTAAAGACTAGTTTTAGTAGGGCAATGCATGGATACCACATTCTGTTTTTCTGATGAGAAATCAACTCATTAAAAAAATAAATTAAATCTGGATCTATACAGAATGCAGAAGCACAATCACAAAATTACACTGACCCAAATCAATCACTCTCTATTCTCTATAACCACTTTCTAATATAACAAAAGTTTAACATTAATAGTCATATATTTTAAACATACGATCTTATGTAACAACATAAGATCTAAACTGTCTAAATAGCTGACAATATCATATAGTAAATCAGCATATTCTTTCCTCTAAGTAATCCCTTATTAATCATTTCCTTGGTTGGTCAACTACTTTATCAAGGGGTAGATATTATAGTGATATTTTTAATGCCACAATGATACACATTCTTTTAACAAGTTGTTTTTACTCATATTAAAATGATTGCATCAATGTTCTACCTGATAAGCCAGAACTTTAAAAATTGGACTATCTATCGCCTCAGTAAAAGACAATCCCAAATTATTTCTTAAGGAGGCTGCCTTAGTGAAATCAGCAGATACTCCATCAGCTTACTCCCAAAGTGAAGAAGGAAGCAGTGTTTTCCTGAGATTTGCTTACATCTTGCAAAAGCCTATCATATTTCAAAACAGACCATCAAATAACTTTAAAGCAAATACCTTTATATTTCACTAAGGTAATAAATGTAATAACATACTCAATATTTATACATAATTCCAGTTGAGAGAGTATACATAACTAATACATTAAGGATACATGGTGCTTTTAGTTCCCCAATATTGATAAAGATTTTAATCACTCATTTCCAAACTACAGCAATAAATTGATTGTTTTGATGCCTACAAAATTAATTGTATTGAATTGTTCTTCAACATGAATGATATAAGGAACAACCCCCAAAGTCCCCTGTTAAATTTAAGGATATTGTTGGCAGTGTTTTCCCATTTTTAAGAATTCCTGAATAGACTTGGCATGGTGGCACTCACCTTTAATCCCAGCACTCAGGAGGCAGAGGCAGGAGAATCTCTGTGAGTTCGAGTCCAGCCAGGTCTACAAAGCAAGTTTCAGGACCATCAAGGCTGTTACACAGAGAAACCGTGTCTCAAAACAGAACAAAACAAAAAATTTCCTGAATTAAAAAGAAAATTGCTATATTTTTAGACCCAGGGGAAATTGTGCTATTCACAACTCATGGCTTTTCATTTTGCATGTTAACTATATTGGGTTCTAGAAAGACCCACTCCTGTGTATTATATACAATTCCTTTTCATGTATTCATCTAATCCTTCAGTTTTTGGTTTGGTATAATTTAACTATATGTAATTTTATGCCATTATAGCTTCCCAAAACTCAACTTAGTTGAGAAATTAAAACAGCAGCAGCAAGAATTCTGCCCCCCACCCCCTGAAACTAGTACTAGTACACTGTAACAAATGGAAAACTTTTTCTTTGGTATAGGAAATTTTTCCTGTTCAATAGCTGAATGACCAAATGACACAAGCAGAAAAGACTGCAAGGGAACAAAAAAATTTCAAGATTTCTATCAGCTAAGTTATACATGATCATAGTTCATAGGGAATTATTCCAGGTTTCAAATTGTCTGAGTACATATGCCTTGGATTTTCAATAGCAATTGTAATGAATGCGGAGAGGGACTCAGCAGAGATACAGGACCATCTTCATACTGGATGCTTTCACTCAATTGTATTATTACTTAAAATCACCAATGTTACAGATGCACACTCTGGAGTCTGCGTCTCTCTAGCACATGGCTCAATATCCTGAAAGAATTTAATACTAGAGCCTAGTAACTTTAAACACACGTACTGTACTTGTTAAACAACATATTTGCTAAAGAAAAAATACTTCACTATGTTTGAACCATACAATTTCCAAGCACCCCCCTTGTGGTTTTCTCAGTATTTTTATCTTAGCTTTGTACACTGTAGTCCATATGTATATAACCAGAAGAAGACACACAGTGCTGGCATTGAGATATTACCTATGGGCAGTATATGTAGCACATTTTTATAAATATACTCTCAACTATGCTGTTTTAATCACAGGTAGGAAAGCCCTTGGATAAGGGAAGTGAAGGACGCTAGTACAATATGTTTTTCAAATGTAGTAGTAAAAGTAGATTTATTTTGGAATCATTAATCACAGATGTCTCACCTTTATTATTCCCTAGAGGAAGGATTTAATACCCCCATCCTTTATTTTCCATTATGGCATACCACTTGTGTATTTTACTCACAACCTATTTGTTTTCTGTTAATCAGAAAGAAGCATGGTTGCACTGTAAACATACAAAGCACTTACTTTGCTTGTCTGCTAAAGAAAAAAAATAAGGCCCGGGAATCTGTTAAATAACTGTCTTGTTAAGTTGAAGAAACCAAAAAATTCAATATTATTTATTGAATGAAATATAGCAAAATTAATATACATAAATTTCAGTTGGAGCAAGCTCGAAGGCACACTAAAGTAAATGTCTGAAGGAACATTTCATGCAAAAGTCGAGGATGACTAGGGGGTGATTAATGAGAATAAAATTATTGACTGTGTCAGAGCCATGATATGTCATTTAAAAAATTCATTTCCTATTAACACATTGCCAGAATAAATCTGATGTCCTCTACCATTTTTCTGTCTGACATATGACATACATTTGATGCTTCTGAGTTATTTGACAATATTTGGTATACATTAGTCATTTCTAAGAAAGGAGATGGTATATGATTATCAAATTATAATCTTGATACTGTATGCCCCACCAATTATTTATTTCTTGCATTTTCATTCTAGGCTGTAGTAGCTGAGGAGTCATACAGAACATATACATTACTTTTGGTACCATAAACCTGAAATCAGAGAATACTAAATTGATACATTGTAGAGCATCAGTTCTCACCTAGGCTGTAGTAGCTGAGGAGTCATACAGAATATATACATTACTTTTGGTACCATAATCCTGAAATCAGAGAATACTAAATTGATACATTGTAGAGCATCAGTTCTCAACCTGTGGGTTGTGACCCCTTTGGGCTCACATATAAGTTAGTATACATGTAAGATATTTATACTATGATTCATAACAGCAGCAAAATTACAGTTACAAAGCAGCAACAAAATAATTTTATGGTTGGGTGGGCTCACCACAATATGAGGAGCTGTATTAAAAGGTCACAGCATTAGCGAGGCTGAGAACCATTTCAAGGTCTGTATTTTCATGTAAGACTATAAAATAAATGCACTCTCAGAGACACCACTAGGTGTGGTTATGCTGGTTTTGATCTAGCGTCATAAGACGTTTATTTCTTTGGTGGAAGAAGAGAAATGAAAGTAGTCCCCAATAGAAAATGAATGTCAGCAGGATTTTCACATTTAGCTTGGAGTTTACAGCATCTTTAAACAAATCAACTCATACCTCTTCAATCTTCTGCTGCATGACCTTCCACTGACTTTCCCATTCTTTTCTTTCATTATCAAACTGGTCCAGTAATTCCATTTTTTCCTTATGCCAGTTGGTCTCTGTGTTCTCCCACTGCTTATGCAGGTCCATGGCAACTGTGTGAGTGTCAGCCAAAGGGTTTCTGCTCATCTCTGCCTTCTCTCAGCTGTTTCTTGGAAGTGTGGAAGTGTTTGGTTTGAAGTGGTCTCACTTGCCTTTTAAAATAAAGCCTGAGATAAACATAAGAAGACAGAGTCCCAAGTTCACGCGCTTTGTGGAAATATTTTGTTAAGACCCAATGACATAATTAACTATAGAAAACTAAACAGGAAAGAAGCAAGATCCTCCCCAGGTCAAGTGGAAGGACTGTACCAAGACCCAAAGTAGGTCATCTCAGAAGACTAGTGTCTTAACTACAAACCATGCAAATATTAAAATGAAAAAAAGATCATTATTTTCCTTTCTTAAGTCAAATCTCAAGTATTATCATTATTCTGTGAGACACATCTTAAAACTTACTCATGGCCTCTCTTCTTTCACCTGGACTATACACGTCTTGAATAATAACTATAGGAAACTGAAGAGAAGTTTTCTTATGCTACACTAAGTAGTGACCAAAATGACTTGATTTCTAACATTCAGGATATTAATATTTCGGGCTTGATGAGACAATTTAAAATCTTGGACTTAGGGGCTAGAAAGATGGCTCAGACCTCACAACTGCATACTGCCCCTACAGAGGGGCCACATTTGGTTCTCAGCTCCCTTAGTGGGTGACTTACAACCACCTGTAACCCCAGTTTCAGGGAATCCAATATCTTTTTCTGAATTTTGTGGACACTTGCACTGACACGTGCACATATCCTATCCCCAAATATACACATAGTTAAAATTAACCTTTAAATACCAGATATATAATTCTGTTATAAGCTTTGATATTTTTTACACTAAAGTGAGGATATCCATAGCATTATTATGAACTTTAGATAGTATAATAAATACACAGTAATTTGAGAAATTAAAAAATACTTTGGACTTTAAAAATCTTGCTTTATCTGAAGAAAGTTTTTATCAATAAAATCATGTATCTTTGGAGTGAATAGAAAAGCTTATTGGTAATGCACCAATTTTATTTAAAATAACTGTGCCAATAAGAAACAGAGTTATGGGTAACTTGGCAGGCTCACATGATTAGCTTGTCAAGGGCCTGGGATGAACTCCAGCACATACATGTATGCAACAATGTGTGCATGTGCATCCACACACAAGAAAGAGAAGAAAACAAAAACCAAACAAAACCCAAACTCTGATGCTTCATTTTACTAATACATGGTCATAATGCTATACCATTTTCTGTTACTGATGCACGAATTTGCCAATAGTCAGTGTTGTGGTGTTCCTGGAAGAACTAAGTCTGTATGATTATGTAGCAAGAACAAGTTTGCACTCGCCAAAGACAGATGCATATTTCACACCCCATATATTATATGGCAATGAAAGATTAATTTTGTCAGGCCTTTCCAGTTAAGATAGGAATGAATTATTATAGACTAGAAGGAATTAGAAACATAACTCTGTATGCAGGCTCTGCTTCTTAAAAATAAAGAAACAAACAACAAAAAAAGTCTATTAATGGTAAGATCTATATTTTCTCAAAAACATTTGCCATAGTTTTTGCATATTTCCTTGGCACTCACAATATCATTACTGATTCAGTTAGCAAAAGTAAACAATTTCAAATTTAGTTACAAACATGCTCTCATGACCCCTCTGTAACGCTCTGTTTCTAACCTCATTTTCTTTCTCATTATTCCTGGTTTTCTTTTGCTACTCTCCCCACTTCTAAAGCCAAACCCTGAAGATCTAACACAATGAAGATAGTAGAGAATTTTACAGAATTTGGGTTCTTGTTTCGACGGACAGAATCTTTACTATTGTTGATGACCTAGTGATATTTTAGGTCCCCCTAAAACCCATTCCCAGGAAACACAGATGTTTGTTTGTGAGAATGGAAGACTGCTTCAAAGCTGTCTGTAACCAACTGTGAGCTGGCAGTGTCTCAGTGGCCATAAAGAATTGCCTCTGGGATGGCTTTGAAAAAGGGTCATGGTCTGAGACATCAGGAAGAAACTACAAATTTAACCAAGGACATGAGACAAAGGGGATGTGTTCTGACAACATAGTCAGAAAAAAGGTTTCATGATATTCCATGGTTTGTCCCAACTGTGTTTAAAATTGGAGCTATTCAGAAATCATCCTCACAAGCATTTACTAAAGTCATGTAACTATGGGTGTTAAGTGTTCTTTCGTTTTAATTCCTACTGAACCACAGACACCTCAGAGTTTAAAGATGTCAAGCCCTTCTATTTTCATCTACAGGAAGATCATCTAGTTTTGTCCCTAATAAGAGGAGTATGTCAGCCCAGGAAAGAGTTGTGAAGGCCTGAATCCTGAGCTCCTCTGCAGAGCATCATACTTGTCAGCTAGGGTTGAAGGACTGATCTTCACAGCCTCCCCTTTCCAAAACCAGAGGAAAGCCTAGTTAGGGAAAGGTGATGGCTACTGCTGAAAACCAATGATTTCCATATTAAAAAAGAAAGCGTTATCAAAAATGTTTATTTATAGCAATGTCTACCTTTTTGGGGGGATAGGAGATTTTCTTCACTTTGCTAGAATCTCTGTCTTGGATTCAATATATATAAATATCCACTGTAACACAGCAGGAGATACTGCACTATTCTCTAAAAACAAAGTGTGTGTGTGTGGTGGTGGGGGGCATGGAAACACTCTGACGTGTAAGCTATCAAATGAGAGAATGTGTACAGAGAATCTAAACACTACGCATACATAATGAGTTCTTGATAAATGATGATTTTTTCCCGTTGTCTTTCATCTTCCCTCTTTCCTTCATCCTTTCCTTCATGAATCTCCATGTAACCCATTTCTGAAAGTAAGACTGGTTATTTTGAATTTTCCTTCTTTGGAATCAAGTCTAAATGTGTCAACTCTTATATTCCCTTTGATTGTGTCTTGCCTTAGTATTTTTCAGCTTTCTTAAGGATGTATGACAAGTCAAGTATTTAGTGCAAAACAGTTTGTTGTTAGCAAAAAGTTGAATAAATGTATGAAACTGCTTTTGCTACCATTCTCAATCAAGTTTTAAAGACGTCAAGCTAAAGGGTCAATTCTGCGAGGACAGAGTGTTCTGTGATGAGAAGTTTCAGGGTCAAGCAGATCAGCACATCCAAAAGCTCAGATTTAGTGTTCTCTGTAGGGGACAGTAAACCAGGCCTGTTAGAGGCTGGCTACAGGTGTGCCTGACCACGCCTGTTAAGGCGTACTTTCTTAAGGATGTATGAAATACATAAGGTGAGGTCAGAATGACTGGAGATAGGTTCTTAAGGAACAGCTGGAAGCCCTTTTTCCTCCCCCCGCTCCGTTCTCAGGCCCCACATTCTCCAGTGAAGCAGATATAAATGCTCTCTGTTCCTAGTTGTCACTCTTTCTCTCCCACAGATGCTGGCATCTATGTGGGAGAGGAGAAAGGATTTTTGCGTTCTGCATCCTCTTTCCCATATTTCCTTGCTCTCTGTTTCATTTCCGCTTTCCCAAATTTCATTCAGAATAGAAATTGATTAGAAGAAACTGGGAAGGACAGAGGTAGCTGCATTCGTTAGTCACACATGTGTCCCTCCCCCAGCAACCCTAATAAACTGCCATTGTGTAATCCCTTTTAACCTCCTTCTCCCCAAGGCCAGAAGCCAAGACTGTAAATGATCTAGAGTGGCTTGCGCAAGGGTGGTGATGGGAGAGGCAAAATGGTTTAGCTCACGGTCGAGCCCCGCCAGGGAGCAAAATGTGACAACAGTTAGGGGTCTCACAGAGGAAAAAATGAGAAAACACAAGCTTTGATGAAAAACAACAACTTTTGGCTTGGAGAAGCAGAGATCTGAAAGTACTAACCTTGAGCAGGTAACTGCTGCCATTTCACCCCGTCCCTCCCATCTGCCTCAGTTTGGTCACGGCCACATGTCTTCACCTGGGGCATGCTCAGTTCTTTCTAGGTCACAGGTATGACCATTTCAAACTTCATCTTGTCCACTGAAAATTGGGGCTTAGCCAAGTAAACCATAGTGTTAGGAGAGGTTACCTACCACTTCCGTCTTAGGAGGACTCTGCTCTGAGGACTTGTTTTGTGCTCCCTTACTTTGCTTTTCTAAGCATGTCACTCATCAGAGAATTCAAGTTCTTCACTCACACGAGGATGCATCCTCCGGGAGGAATGTAGGAGTCAGCAGATACTGCCAACTGCACAATTCCTAGAAGAGATCATTTGGCCTGGGGATGCTTTGTTTCTGATGAATTTGGAGGGATTAGGAAACCCCGTGCCTGAACCTCAAAATACAGCATCACTTGTCTGCCAAGTTCCCTAGCTCACTTCCCAGGTTATTAAATCACTGATAGCGTACCAGGCAATTAAGGAATCCTATTCCTCTGGTGCTCTTCATCAGCAAATGCATCTATCCAGAGACCTCCCCATCTGACTTGGTTAGAAGATAAAATGAAAAGTGTCCATGCTGTTCATTGCTATTTCTGCCTACTCCTTGTTTTTTTCTTTTTTTCTTTTTTCTTTTTTTTTTTTTTTTAGCAAGGTCAAACAGATGCAGCACACCTAATACCAAACACATAAAGGATCAAGGTTGTTTTCTCATTGATTACGGCTGTTGACTCTTCACTGATACTCATACTTCCAATCTAAGCTGTAGGCACATCGATTTTAGTTTCCTTAGCTGGTAAAATACAGGCTCCGATTAAAAACAGCAACTTTTGGCTGGGGGAAGCCGAGATCTAAGAGTAGTTAGTAACCTTAGGCAGAGGGTGTGCCACTGCCATTTCTCCAAGACTCCAGTGCCTCTGAGTTCACATTGCAGTAACACTTGCCCTGGAGTCTAATAGTCATCTTGTAGAAAACTGCATTTTTTATTGTGAATTTCAAATAGCAGCAAACTCTGGGGCTGTGAATTTTATCTTGCAGATACCAAAAATCACTTCATCCTGCCACAAATTGCATTCTAATCAAGAGTTAATGGAAACTTATGCTGAGTAAAGTTTTTGTGACCTACTGAGTATTAGTGAAAAGCACAGTCTCATTGTGAGGATGGCAGGGTCAGTCCTCACTTGGGAAATCCACCCTCAGCAACTGAACAGCTTCGTCCC